ATTAAAAATTAATGTTAACAAACTTAAAAGATTTATGTAATAATTTTTAAGGAATATTGTTAAATTAGAAAGCATGCCTAAAATCATGTACGATATTCTGATATTATATTTTCTCACTCACACAGAGTGTCTATGTAATCTTTGATAATCGATTTAGTTATTGACAGAGAATTTTCGATAAAATTACTTACCACGCGAAGCACCGAGAATGCACGACTGTGGTAGCAAAAAACAAGTCAGCACCAGTGGCCAATTCATCTTCAAATCTGCAATAAAAAAAAGAAACAAAGTTAGACAACATAGTCATTTAAAAGTTATTTATAGCAACGATATCGAAAGACAATATCGATCCAAAACACTTCACACTGTCGAAATGTTGGAAATTCACGCTCGGAAATTGCTATTTTCTGTTTTAATGAAGCTCGACAATTGTCTCCCAATAACTGCTAAAATAGCTTGTACAAAGCAAACAAGCACCGAGCGGCTATATCGGTTTTCTTCTTCGACCACTGCGGCTTATCCCGCCTTATCTCCCACAAAATCATGAGAAAAAACACACCCGGTGCAAATTAATGCGTGCTACACTCATTTCCAAACAACGGCATGGCACAATTATAGGGGAGCAGCCCCTACATGTAATATTGATACGGAAGAGTGTTCTCCGCTAATCCTTCTTTTGGTCAGTTATAACCCGATACCGATGGACGTGCCCGCGGCTACGTCACGAAGGGAGATGGATCGTTTTCAGCACGATAGAAATTCAGGAGGGATCAATACGCCAGTAATTCTTGTATCGGCCCCGAGAATAAGTAGCCCATTGACCTCTCGGGCACGTTCTGAAATTAGACCAGCCGTGTCGATAAAATGTACTAGACATTCTCGTGTTAAAACATCGTCTCGTGCGGCTAATGTGTATCCCGATTCAATTTCATCGTAGCTTAGAGTGCTTTCCAATTGTAAAATTACTAGACATTTTCATGCACACGGTGATAGAAGTTGCGTTCAAATTGCCGTAATCATCACATAACATCACATAACATTACATTCGTATTCAGCCCGAATCGGCTATATAAACTTGTGTTTTCTGATAATTACATGTTAATAATCACGTAGTTATTTATAAATTATAAATAAATTTGGAGAACATTGGATGGCCGGCATATTGTTTTTTATTCAATACACAGGAAGAAAAAGCTATGTTTAATCTAATTCTATCCGAAACTGTGCATAGTGTATACATTCTGTTTCAATTGAATCGTGCACAATGTTACACTTTTGCATTCCTGTGTACGTTTGTGTTAAGATGTATTAAGCAATTGGAAAATACTCTTATTCGCCACGCCATAATAATATTTAGATTGTCCATCTTGCGCTGTTTGTATTCCACGTGTCTGTGTGCAGAATCGAATCATGTTATAATATTTGTAGATCCAAGATCCCACGCCGCGTCCAATAAAAATACGTCGAGTGGCTTAGGGTGGAGACCCTTTATTCGCGTTCATCCAAGTCGTTCAGCGAACGGTCGACACTCTCCGGCAGACGAGCACAAAATCTGGCGAAATCTTATGAGACGGAGTTTGCATTCGAAGCAAATTTTCGAAAGCCGCATTCCACGCATGATGGGAGGGTTCGTCATTGTGTGAAGCAAACAACCTTCTTCTATAATAATAGTTATTCCCATCCCCAGCCAGCTTCCCCAAAGAAGCAAGCTAATGTCTGACAACTGGCTTTTATTGTTTTCATTATTTTAGCTTCGTCAACTTAACCGAGCAATACTAACTTTTCTCGGCTCTCTAGCTCGAGCTCGAGTTTACTGACTTACCAAATAAAACCGACAATCCGTATTCATGAATTTTAGTTCTGACGTTATTCACCATGTAAATTAATCCATATAACAAAGAAGCTTGCAATAATGTTTGCAATATTATTGAAATATTGTTAGAACGTTGCAACGTTGCTATGATATTGTTGGAACGATCTGTGCTGTATAGAAAATGCGGAGAAAGCAAGAATACGTGATCGATGAAAACGGAAAGCAGTAACCATCAGAATAAAGGTGTGAAGAAATAAGTTGCCTTCCCCGATCGCGCGTGATAAAATGAATAGATGTGATACGGCGTAAAAGGATACGAGTACCGCGTGATAAAGTATGCGTGTAAATATGAAAATGTATATATGTATTATCACGCGATAAAGGCGCGAGATATATTAATGTGTCGCCGCGGCATTAAACGTCCGATGCAAATTGCAGCGTCGAATAAATGAATTTACGTTTCCGTGAAGTGTTTTCATTCTTGGCGCGAATGCACTTCCGCCTGTAATTCTTTCGCGTCGATTCGGACGCGAATACATTCGCTTCTTACAATAGCCCTCGATTGGTACAAGTACGTCACAATAGTTTTCAATGTCACTCTATATGAATATCGCAGTCAATGGGCGCATTCAGCGGAGACGACAATTGAGTAGCACTTGAGCAGTAATGCAACCTGCTTCGCTGAATATCTCAGAGTATATACCGATCGTATTCAATTGCTACTCAACTGTTGTCTCCGTTGAATGCGCCCAGTGTAAACATGAAATGAGATTTGGCCAGCTGTGTTTAGCCTTGCACGTACAATATGGGTCCGAAATTCTAATACGTAGTGAGCGCGATTGATGACATTAAAATTTTCATGAGTGACACGAAAAATAATAAAATACAGGAATCATAGGAACTTGACGATTTTCAAAATGAAATAAATAATATAAAATATAACACAAGGGAAATATAGATAATTAATTATTTCTTATTATTTAACAATAAAATTTGAGTATGGTATATTTGAGTATATTTGAATAATGATTAGCAGAAGCCATGAAGCAGTTCAATGAGTGCCTCACTGATTTTTATTACGATTGATTTCTACACTTAGACCCAGTAATGAAATTAAAGCAGAAATAAACAAGAAGAACTAATCATATTAAAGAATCAGTACTCACTGAACTGTTTCTGCTGAATACATCCATTATTCAATTAAACTCAGATATGCTAAAATTACATTTCTTGTTGTTATATAATAAGAATTAATATTTAAATTATTTCATATTACTCATTTCATTCTGAAACTCATCAAGTTTCCATGGCCCATCCTGTGTTAGATAAAGAAGTTCATCCGAAAAAGATTTGTTTCATTAAGAACCCTTCATCTCAATTAGATCATTCTTCTTTTCAGCTATAGATAAAATATGACACGTTGTAAAGTCAATCATGAAAAACGAAAGCAGGTACACGAGCTCCCTAAGAATCTTGAAAATTCACGGAGCGAATAAAAGCTCATTATAGCGTCGCTCTTACCCTTTATTTTCATCGCTTTTCACACCTTGGCGAGTTGATATTCATGAAATTAATTTTTTTTCTTTTGTTCGTTAGAAACTTATTATAAAAAATGCTTGTTCTACAAGGTATCAAGAGCAATGGTCTTCTCAATGCAGTTCATATTGTGCTGATTTGTTTCCCCCTTTCTCCATTTAATCTACAAAATACAATTAGCTTCGTAGTTAGCTAATTTGCATCAGAAAGACTGCCGAATAATCGAGTATTCGCTGTAAAATCAAAATCATTAATTAAACGGTAATATTTCATACGTCGGGCGATTAAACATTGTATCCCAGCTTCACCACAAATACGGGAAGCGAGCGTTCTCATTTGTAATTATCAAGGGTAGACAGATGAAATCGCTCTTCATCGCGACGCAGGATTCTCAAATGAAATCCCGAGGTATCTTAGTCGGTATTAACATCGGGAAAACGGGCGTGACGTAAATAAAGAATCCCCGTCACGGCATTACTTTCCGCTTGCTTCTCACCGTCGGAGATCGGCAAGGGGGTTAGTCCTTTTCTCATCGTACTACGATTTCTCGCGAACACAGAAGGCAACTAATATCCGCGCAGGAGCCTCTATTTTTCTTTATTAGCTCGTCGCGATGTAACAATGCCGCATCCTGCGCGCACACCGCGCCGGTGTCAATGGAGTTGACTTTTCGCAAACTCGCCAGGCAACCTTTCGCAAACCGAGCTGGGCCGCGTGGATGCGACCGAGCCACATCTGCGGATTCCCGCAGAATATCACCGTCGTCCACGCGAACAAAGGGAAGCAGGAGATAGCGGTAGAGGTTGGTACGAGGGACGCATCGGGGTGGATACGGGGTTGGCAGTCGATGGGGAGGAAGGAAAAAGGAGAAGAGGAAGCGAGGTGGAGAGAAGCTCGACGGAAGGATACGAAAGAGGGTGCATCGCCTCGGGCGTCTCTTCGTGCCGGTCTCTTATGTTCTCTACCTCGGTCCTTACCTCTTCCAGCCGCATCGTTGCACCCTCGCTCTCTGCACACCCCTCTCGACTCTCGTTCTCCCTTGGCTGTCCCGAAACTCCTCTAAATAGCCATGTGACGGTACCAGCCACCGTATTACATTCCATACACCAACACCGAACGACAACGCGCGCATCATCAGTGTGTGGCCAAATGCTGACGCACACGTGCTTCGTCATGTAGCAATACGCGTACGGATCTTAGAAGATTTCTGAACGAGGGACGCTCAGAAACTAGAGTTCCTGATCCTGATGGCGCCCACGGGCATGTGCGCGAAGAAACGACCTCGTCGTTGCGTCGTGTTTGCGCATGTGTTTTTGTGCATAGTTACGTTTCCACCCGCCACTCATCCCCGATTTTCAATGTTTTTTTTCAGCTATCCCCCTCCCCTTACGCTGCCAGACAAACACGTAGAGTTGTTGAGTTTTATGATCGCGACGGAAGTATTTCGCGCACGATCATAATTGTCGAACAATTGTTCGCTATCTTCGCGATCATATTCGAAACGTGAGTTTGTGAGAACTTATTCGAAATGACATCCGCGATACATATCCAGTTCGATGAAAATACCGAAAACTCACAAGAGAAACGAATACTTGGAGTATTGTTTCGTTCTATGGTCTCTCTCGTGGTCAGTTACTATTTCGCTATAATAATAGCGCAATTATTTCGCAATAATAGCAAAATTATATATTAATGTTAGAAAGTTACATAGAGCTAACATCTGGTGGTAAATTCAAAGTATGTTCGATTATTGATGCATTATATTCAATTTATTCGAGACCATTATGCAAGCTATACCATTATTTACTTAGTGCAATATTAACTTGCCATCAGGTTACTAATTGCGTTAATAATATATTTTTCAATTATGTTGAAAGAACAATTACAAGCATAATATTTGTATACGTTAATTAAGTT